TTACCAAAAAGTAATATTTAATTATAAAAAATTGCATTAAATAAGTTTTAGCCAAGAAATTACCAATATTTCTGAAAATATGATAATTTCCAAAAATTACAGGTAATAGTATTTTAATAATTAATAATATTTTAATAAATTAAATCTTTATTAAAATAGTATTAATAATTACATTAATAAATAATTTTTTTATTAATTAACAGTAAATTAATAATTACAGTACTTTTAATAATTAACGGTATTTTAACAAATATGGTATTTAATAATAAATAGTATTTAGTTAATTACAATGTTTATTAATTAACAGTACTTAATTAATTGTAGTATTTATTAATTAATAGTATTTAATTAATTAGACATATATTCAATAAATATAGTATTTTAATAACTACAATATTTTTAATAATTTCAATATTTTAACACCTACAATATTTTAATAATTAGTAGTATTTTAATAAATACATTATTTATTCAAAATAATATTTTATTATAGTATAAATAATTATTATAGTATTTTTTAAATAATTAGCTGTATTTATTAAACTATTTTATTTATTACGAATACAATACTAAAATGATTCCGGTTCGTCTAGAGACCTATAACATGCAATCTATATGTAATGTGAAGCCTAATAACTATAATTAATAAAACTGCTAAAGTTAATAAAAATATTAAAATTTTGCAAGTTCTATCTAGCAATTATTAAAAGTTATTTACTTAATAAAAATTAATCTTAATTATGTTAAAGTTTTTCTGAATTTTTCAGATTTTTAATTAATTGTTGGTATTTTTCATTATTATTCAGTAATTTTTGCATATGAGTAACTTTTGCAATAAAATACTGTTAATAAAACGGGTTCTATATATTATCAATTTTAATGAGTTCATTATGCACAATAACGATCTCAACTCATAAAAATTATTAATTAATTAAAAATGCATTAATACAAAGTTATCTAATAATATTATTAAAACTGTCAATTAATATTTTTATATTTAAATTTCTTATTTGTATTAGAGCTTATTAAGTTTGATTTTTAAGTGGAATTTAAACACATTCCTAATATTTACTAAGTTTTATTAATATTTATTTTAAGTGAAAGTTTAGTGGATTTTTAAATTAATAATTTTTTTATTGTTTAACCTCAACATATTTATATTATTTGATTTATATTAATTATTACTATTCTCTCTCTCTCTCTTAAATGTAATAATAACATACATTAAAATAAGAAGCCTTGGAAAACCCAAAGGTCTCTCTCTCCCCCTCTTTTAAATGTAATAATAACATGCATTAAAATAAGAGGCTTTGAAAAACCCAAATCTCACTCTCTCAAAATAGACAATGATTACTTCTTTATATTTTTAAAACAAAAGAAAATAAAAAAAATGTAAAAAATGGAGATTTATATGTATATACCCAATTCACTTAAACCTAATTAATATGTTTAGGCATAGGCTGCATAGCCACTCTTAGAAAACATGACAAAAAGTGCGGGTAATCTTCCCTTCACAAGGTTGCATTAATTAGGGAAGAGAGATTTATGCATAATGAGAAAGATAGGGAGAGCAACTCCACAAATACCTGAATGGGGTAGTTTGTTAGACACATACATAAAACAGGTTGGGTTGTCAGGCATACTGCATCTTCATCATATTTGAGCCGGTAACCGTCTTCCAAACACTAGGATATCAGAACAAGGGAATCTTGGAAAAAAACTCAGTCCTGATTAATATTTTGTCCAGGTGAATCATGATGAATTGCCACAAAATGTCAGCATTAATTCTTAGTCGACATATCCTCTTCATCATCGTCCAAGCCTTGTCCCAAGTCCCAACAAGGGTTGGCTACATATATCCTGCTTTGCCATTTTGTACCCCTTAGTGCCATAAATGATGAGCACTTAAATCATTTCCTACTACTTTGACCTCATGTCCTTTTTCTTCTGCCCCTAGTCCTTCCCACCCCTTTCAACCTGCAATAAATTTATAGATTGCTTCCTCTTAATAAGTTCCTCAATCTCATATTATGGCCTCCTTTAATCTATTTCTCAAATTAAATTGACAAATTAAAAGAAATCGGTAATTCAAATCATAATTTACAAAAGAGATGTATTGTGCTGCAAGCTACGAAAGGGCTACAATTTCCTACTGACGTCCTTTATGATTGACATTATGTGCTAAATGATCTGCTGCTAGCAGAAGGAGGGGATGTTGAGGATTTCCTTGCTTATAAGAGGGGTTCTATCTTCTCTGGATGCACTCCATTGAAGTTGATGAAATCAGACCAACTTTTCCACTAAAGAAAGTAATAAATAAATAAATTAAGGCAGCAAGATCAAAATTCAAGCAAACTAGCTTTTGATGTTCTAATTTAGCAAGCTTTCCTTCTAACTTTTCCACTGATTAGACCAACATCCCAGCTTCACATAAAAAACTAAACCAGTGGTTCTCATCAACACGTTAAGATGAAAAAAAAAATGCAATAATACCAATATGGATCAACCACTTCCCTCCAAATGGATAGAATTGCGATACAGTAATTGGACATGGCATGCAAATTTCTACAAGGAAAAAATAGATTACCAAAGATTGAATAGAGGGAATGGTCCATACTAATCCACTGACCAGTAAGCAAAATAGTTGACAAGGTACTTCACCCACTAAACTAAATCTAATAATCCCTAAATGAAGTGAAAACTTAAAACTGCTTTTAGACTACCCAAATTACATTAACAGTTCAACAACCAGTTCTATGTTAAACAGTGTGTACCAAAATAACCCGGTTCAATCTTTCTAGATTATCAAAGACAAAGTCATTAAGCATCATTCAAAGCTAAGATTGGCTTGTGCAACTTTAATTATGCATGAGAAAATCATAGATATAATTGCTGATTAATTTGGGAACATATACAATCTGAAGATGGAGTTTATTTATAGATGCACTTGTCAAACACTTGATTATCTCTCAATAGAAACCAGATTTTGAAATTACTTGCGTTGGAGGATGTCCTTTTTTACCATTGCTAATGCAACAAAGCAAATCAGTACCTGTATCATCAGACTGAATGAGCTCTGAACTGAAGCCAATCAATCAAAGGCACCAGGTTGAACATGAAAGATATTTTGAATATAGACCTTTTCAGCAAGAGGATCATTTTAGCCCACCCAATATCTGCCTAAAGAATAGATGTAGATTTTGTACCCAGTCAGTTGCTCCAGAGATGGCCAACCCAACAAATGAAGAAAGACACCACTCGGTTATGATCGTCCTGCATCACATGTTTGCTAAGAATAACTCTACTGCAATCAACATTCAAGAAAATCGGCACCAACTGCAGAACCACCTAACGTGCCATCTGGATTCAGACTTCTGCTTCACCACCTTCCTAACAAGCTACCAGCTACTACCACTAAATACTTCTGCCAAAACTACTCCTACTCAATACTGATGGAAAACCGCTTCCCCAGCTGAACATTCCTATTCAAGTATATAAGGTAAGGGCTGAAACTCCAAGGTGAGCATCATCATTATGAACGAGAATTGGAAAAACAACTCCCCCAACCACCTTTATGTCTGAAAAGTAAACAGAGCTAACTTCTGTTCACTGAAAGAGAAGAAACAAATTATGGATATCCCCCCCCCCAATGTAATTACTATATACCACATACTTAGTTGTTTAAATACGGAGAAAAGAGAATTTACCCAACCCCCCTCCTCCCCGGTGGGCAGAAAAAACTAGAACAATCAAGATGTTCATTACCAATGCCCAATTGTCCATAGGTTGAGAAACACCTTTCCATCAAATACTTTATACTCAGAAAACTGTATGAGCATTCAAGTTCTAAGTGCCTAAAGTCAAAAGACATAGCCCTATAACACATGGCAATACCATAAACAAGTCGAGATATAGATTATCATACCATCACAGCAAAGGACCAGAAAACAGAAACCATTCTATTAATGCAAATCATATTCGGCAAATTAAAAGAAAAAAAAGCCCTCCGCAAAGCTGCCACCGATCTCATCCCCACTCCGCAACTCTTTCTGATCAATCTCATTTATCAAATTTGTAAGGTCTGCAACTGAACAAAGCCCTAAATTGATAAGAAAACTCCTTCTCCGAAGTAGATTTAAAATTTTATCCTTTCCCACAATAACTTCGCCAGGTAGATACGGAGGCGTAGCAGACTGAGAAAGCTTCCATGGCGGAGAAGACAGAAACAAAGGTCCTGGGAATGCAATCAGATGGGAAAAGGAATCTCGAGTCCAATGAGATGAAGTCGGTCGAAGCACAAACAAGAATGGATTCGACGAAACAGCAAAGTTAGAGGAGAAGGAAAGGGAGAGAAAGTGGTCGAGAGAGGAGGAGACGGGATGGAAATGGTGTTGCAGATGCGCACAAACTGAGAGTGGAATTCAGAATTCTGAGGAGTGGAATCCAAGTATATCCAAGTAATCCGCGCCAAAACCATTTTGCCGCCGCGCCAAAACCGGATCGGAATTGATTCTAATCCGAAGGAAGGTATCTCAGAAAATTATTCTGAGAAGCACACTACATACGAAAGCACGAGATGTTGACCTTCGGATTGGAATCCAAGTATATCCAAGTAATCCGCGCCAAAACCATTTTGCCGCGTTAAACCAACCTCAATGACCGTTATACCTTCCTTCCCATGCTAACTAATTTTTGAAAGACAGCGGAGGGACAATGCAAAAAATCTGTTAGCAGGGTAGGAGTAACGATTTCCGCGTTCTTTTCGGAGATTTGGTGACTTAATAAATTCAGCAGGATTGTTGTGCCAAAACCACTCGTAATTCAATCAATTTGGGAGATCGAGCAATACGAACGCTGTGTGGTCTTGACTTCTGGGAAACAAAGAGAACTTGTTCTTTCCAGCACTAAGGTTTTCCCGTTTCTAGTTGCTTCAACTCTAAGTTTCTAATTGCAATTGATTTCTTCTAGTGGTGATCATTAGAGAATTCTGATTTAGTGCTTAGAACTAATCAGGGTGTGGCTGCACTGGAACACAGAAAGGCAAAGGGAAAAATGAGTTGCTTTTGTTGTCGTAGAACGGATTCAGAGGTCAACAGGAAGTCATTGAAGATGAGCAAGAATGAATATAAAGAAGTAGATGGGTTGGCTTCAGTGACCGCCAGTATCTCCCTTAAATCCGGTATGTCAATCGAGAATTTCTTTGTTTATCTTCATTTTCAGATAGTTGTAAATTAATTTGAAATGTACTTGATCTATTTTAATTTTATAAACCTTGATTTTGAATCTTTATTTTTACTTTTTTTTTCTTTAGGCTCAGTTTGGAAGGTACATATTTGTATTTGTACTCCTTCCAAACTGAGCCTATATTTGATGAGGGATGGGTATTCGTCTTGCATAATGTTCTGAAGCATTTTATTCTTGAAACCACATAGAATTATATCATTTCATTTCATAACAATAGAAGAATAGATGTTTCCATAAATTAGCTAGAAATTGGGAACTTCTGATAATGACTCCATTTTAGGTGATAAATTGTTGTCCTTTGGTTGCTAAGGAAATTAGAATGAAATGGTAACATTCCATATCACTTCATTGGAGGCAAGGAACTCTGTAAACCCATGTCTAAGACAGAAATGGTTTGGCTATAATTGGTTCTTTGCATGAACTCTTGCATACATTTTTTTTTCCGGTGCAGATAGCAGTAAGAAGAGGAACGTAGCTCAAGAGATGCAGAAATTTGGAAATGGAAATATTGCTTCTCGAATCTTCACTTTCCGTGAGTTAGCAGCTGCAACTAGGAACTTCAAGTCTGAATGCCTACTGGGTGAAGGTGGCTTTGGAAGGGTGTATAAAGGATGGATTGAGAAATTAAACCAAGTTTGCTCTCTCTCTCTCTCTCTCTCTCTCTCTCTCTCTCTCTCTCTCTCTCTCCAAATTATCTAATTAGCTTCATTTATAACCCATGCTATTCAGGTGGTGGCTGTGAAGCAACTTGACAGAAATGGATTGCAAGGGAATAAAGAGTTCGTTGTTGAAGTTCTGATGTTGAGTCTTCTTCACCATCCAAACCTTGTAAACTTGACTGGGTATTGTGCTGATGGTGATCAAAGGATTTTAGTTTATGAGTACATGCCATTGGGGTCTTTGGAGGATCACCTTCTAGGTATGTCCTTCTGTATTATGTTATCTCCTTATTGTGACATTCTTCCATGGTGAAATCTAAGGTGCATGGTCTTTCCTGCATGAAAGCCACACCATCAATTGGGTTCATGTGTTTGGTTAAACACTTATATCTCTGAGAAACCAAATAAGCACCTTTAATTTGCTCCTACATAATGTGCTATTTGATAAAGTTCATGTTACCAATTGGGTTTTAATGAACTACCTTGATTTTGCAGATTTACCACCAAATAAGAAACCTTTGGATTGGCATACGAGGATGAAAATAGCTGAAGGTGCAGCCAGAGGGCTTGAATACTTGCATGACATTGCCAAGCCCCCAGTGATTTATCGTGATTTGAAATCATCTAATATATTATTAGATGAAAACTTCAATCCCAAACTTTCTGATTTCGGGTTGGCCAAACTAGGTCCTACTGGTGACAAGAGTTATGTGTCAACAAGAGTTATGGGGACCTATGGCTACTGTGCACCTGAATATGCAAAGACAGGTCAATTGACAACAAAGTCTGATGTATACAGTTTCGGAGTTGTGTTTTTGGAAATTATCACAGGAAGGAGAGCAATTGACAATGCAAGACCCACGAGTGAGCAAAACCTTGTTACTTGGGTATGTTGTAGTGAACTTAATCTCTACCTTTGCTATTGTATATAGAGAAAACTCTATAAGTGATCATAAACATTGGTATCAGCCAAATTAGTTAAGGAATATATATATATATATATAGATATATATATGGAAGTCATCAAAGAATTGTATCTCCTTAAAGTATAGATGTATAGTTATACAGTTTTATTTCCTTGATGTAAATGTATTAGCATTAGCCATAGTGCTTAGTTGTTCTTTACAACTACCTGCAGTGATGAATTCTCTTTCTTTTGAATACTGAGATTGTAGTCTTCCATTTATGGTACAGTTTTATGGATTTGATTTTCCAAGTTATTCTTGATATACATTTGCAGGCAAAACCACTGTTTAAGGATAGAAAGAAGTTCACATTGATGGCTGATCCATTGCTTGAAGGGAACTACCCCATTAACGGTCTTTACCAAGCTCTTGCAATTGCAGCCATGTGTCTTCAAGAGGAAGCAAGCACTAGACCCTTAATCAGTGATGTTGTAACAGCTCTGTCATATCTAGCTGCTCCCAAAACAGATGAAGGTGTCGAAGGCACAATGAGCTCTGCTTCTCCGTATAGCGATAGCACTGGAGATGTTGAGGATGATGTTAAATACTCTGATTTTGGAGATATGGGAGAAGAAAGTTAATTAATATGGATCCCATGGAGTGTAGCTTCAGTGAAGCAAGGCTGAAGAAATTGCTCTTTGGCTGCATTATGAAATTGAAAACAATAGACCTAAACAGATATAGAGTCTTGTCATATTTTCAAGCATGATTGTTTCAGTTGCTTTCTATTCTCCAATTCTTGAGTTGTAATCAGTTTGTATATCATGTAGTGGATCAGCTCAATTCTAATGGTTAACACATTAAAAGTCCTCAAGAAGAACATTTACATTTGCGCAGTTTGATATGAACAACACTTAAATTCTTTCTTCTAAATATCAATGAAGATGAAGAGTTTTACATGTAGTGTGCACTTTTCTATTTATATCCAGTTCATGGGAAGCTAGTTCCCTCCATTCTATGGTGAGAGAACATGCACGAGAGTGTAATATCACATCTACAAATTCTGTTTCCTTGATCATCAATTTTAATGGGCCTCAATCGTATGAACAATACAAACATATAACACTGTTTGTATGGAGAAGGATTGTTTTAGAAAGAAAACTATTTTAGGGAGAAAATAATGCCCCACTGGGGTCTTTCTTGTGATTCTAGGCAATTATAACTTTATATAAAGAGTCTCGTGAGAGAGAGAGAGAGAGAGAGAATTGGCATGTGATATTATTAAAGCAACAATCTCTTAATATCTTCTCCTTTTCCTTGTTTCTTATTATTCACAATAAGGAGGTATGGGAGCAAGAAGACTATGAAGATGTCGAAAATGATAAAATCTATCAATCAACTAATTGGTTTGCAAATTTGGAGTTTGACACCAATTTGGGCCAAGGTTAGGGTCATGTGTAATGTTAGTCTTGGGTTGGTTCTTAACTTAGACCAAATCCATCTAACCTATAATAGAAAGAGGAAAGAAGAGTTTTAATGAGAGATGGAAAATGTTACAAACATTGACTATTAAGGTGTGAGGAAAGATAGTTTTAAGAATTATGTTATTGAAGAGAGTAAATGATGGGTTTTATCAGAGAAAATTAAGACATATAAATGGTTTGTTGTGAGCCTTGTGATTTATACTTTTGAATACTTAATTTAAAAATAGATAATCACATGTTTGAAAAAAAAAATGAGAGGAGGATGTCTATGCGATTTCTGTAATGAGAGGATCCTTAAAGTTGTATTAAGGATATATTGGCTAGGCTCCATATTTAAGATGGGTTGGCTCTTAGCTTGACCCAAATTCATCTAATTTATACTATTTCTGTGTTAAAAGAGTCAAAAGGGTCATTTAAGAGGAGAAAAGGGATTTAATGGGGGAGGGGAGATGTTACAAACAGCAACAATTAATGGGGTGGAGCTTTAAGAATGATTTCACTAGAGAGTAATAATGGATTTTCATTAGAGAAAATTAAGGCATGGGGGTATTTCTTATATAGGAAAATTACAAAAAAAGAACCCTATACTATGGGGTCAATGACAATGACCCTTGAACTTTCATTTGCAACAAATACCCCCTAGCTATTAAGTTAGATGACATAATGCATTAAATTACCTAATTACCCACCTGAACTTTCTTTGTTTTACATTTGTTGCCCTTTTCTCCTAAACCCTAATTAACCCCAAAATACCTCCATTTTCTCCAAATAAAACCAACTAAAATGTCTATCTTTGTCTTAAAATGTAAAAATTATCCACTCTTTTCTCCAATAAACCAATAAAACCAAAATTTATATGTATCAAAAGAAACCTCTATCATTTTATTTTAAATATTGAATCCAACCAAAAATCTACAAGGATCTATAAGGCTTAGAGCAACTAAGAGGGCTTCAATATTATATTTAGAAAACTAATTGAATCATATATTGTTCAAATAAATAACAAAACGGTAGTTTGGAGATTTAAAAATTTTTTAAATAGCTAATGAGAATCTTTTTCAAAGTTAACTAACAAAAATCTAACAAATGAGAGTATTTGCTGCAAAGTGAAAGTTCAGGGGGTCTTTGTTGCAAATGAAAGCTTAGGAGGTCTTTGTCACTGACCCCGTAGTACAAAGGGTCTTTGTATTCTATTTTTTTATAATTTAATTTAAAAATAATTAACCATGTATGTGAAAGAAAGAGAGAGAGAGAGAAGTAGAATGTGCAAATTGTGGAGAGAGGTTCCCTCACCTTTCCTCTTTCCTCTTTCTAGTATAGATATAAGATACATACAAATTTTATTATTGTTGGTGAGCCTTTAGTTAATCGAATGTTCTAATATTTAATCACATTTGAATTCTGACATCGATTTTCGATATCCTCGGATATCGAATTTTCTAATCGGATTCAAATTCAAATATTGCTTGATTCAATTTGAATTTGATATGTTTACACCCCTATAAAGAAGCTAAGAATTACTATAAATAGTAATTAGGGTAATTAGTATAAATAGTGAGCTTGAAATTATTGTAACTAGCGGTGACCCGTGCATTGCACATACTGATTTTTTTAAAAAAATTATTTTTAAGGGAAAAATGAAGTAATCGTGAATCATCGAAGTTTTTATATACTTCTAGTTCTTTACATTTAAAATAATAGAAATAATTTTCTTTTCTTTTTTAGTTGTTAAGCTTCAAACTCATTCCTTTTTACATAGCAAAAATGTATATATGCTTAACATGAAATCATTAACCAATATGAAAAAACAATTTCAAAATTAAACAGGTGAAGATAACCGAAGGCTTATGTTAAGTGATTTTTATTATTGAACCATAAGAATCCATGAAACAAATCTACTTTAAATTAATAAAAAATAGAGAAAAACCTAGTAACCCGTGGAAAGGAGAAATGGTTTCATTAGACTTCTATATAAGAAGAAAATTTGTTCAGCCCATGTATTGGTGGAAAAGTTTGGGTTTTTTATATTAGTTTGGGTCAAAACTAGGGTTCATATTTAGGTTTGGCCCTTAATCTAACCTGATCCATCTAATTAACACCCCTACTTTATTACATAGAACCAAAAGGGAATAAAAGAGATTTAAGATGAAAAAGGGGGATTTAATGGTAGAGGAGATGTTACAAACATTGACTATCAAGCTAGAGAGAGAAAGAGAGATAGAGAGTAATGGTGTTATTAGGGAGTAAATATGAAATTTATGAGAGATGATAAAGACTCATTAGGTATTTTAATTTTGACTTGTTATATTTTTAATGGTTCCATTTAAAAATAAATATGCACATGTGCGAGAAAGGAGAGTAGGAGGCACATGTGAGCTTTGTGGTGAGAGGACTCCTCACCTCCCCTCTCTCCTCTTCCTATTGTATAATAGTAGAGGGTCATGCGGATGCACGGGATGGGGCACCCCCCTTGTCTCTTACCCCAATAGGGGCGGGACGGGTTTGGGGCGAGACACCCATTCTCCACTGGGGATGGGGAATCCCCAATTTTTTCCCACCCTAAGGCAACCACCTAAAAAATCTAATTCATGGATATTTTACAAATAGGATTATGGAAATTTGGGGATATTTTAGGAATTGGATTATGACAATTTGGGGGTATTTTATAAATGAAATTGTGAGGCCATAGGATTATAAAAATATGAGGAAAACTTAGAGATATTTTATAAATCAATATTTACTAATTTAACATTAGGTTCAAGGAATTATATGCAAATTTGGGGAAAAAAATTCCCAAATCCTACCTCGTATTTGCCCCATCCTCATTTAAGATTTGAGAAAACATGACCCATTCGGGGCCGGGCAGGGTAGGGCCCCAACTTTATAGGGAAAACTGCCATCTCTACAGTTCTAATAATTTGCTCTAACTAACTAACTAATAGTAAATTAAATAACAATAAATTACAACATTTTATGATAATTTCCAAAAATTATTGAAATTGCTATTAATTAGTAGTAATGTATAGTAAATTAATTATTTACAATAACAATCAATTAATGTAAATTATTTACTATTAATCAAATCAAATGTAATTATAATAAATTAATGTAATTATGGTAAATTACATTATTTTTAATTAAAAGTAAACCATTTGTTGTTAATTAATGTAAAGCCAAGTATGATTGAAGTCAACCAAGTGATCTAGATCGGTGTGGATAGACTTAATGATTTTCCTAAATAATTTAATAATTATTTATTGAAATAATAATAATGAATTGTTATTTAAATAATTATGGAAAAATTTTTGATAGATTAATTTTCTAATTTTGTTAATAATTATTTAGTTGAATAATAATAATTAATTATTATTTAAATAGTTTCAGAGAATATTTTTTCATAGATTAATTTCTTAATTTTTTAATTACTTATTTAAAAATTAATTATGGATTATTAGTTAAAGAGTTTCCCTAAATTATTTGATAATTGTTAACTATAATTATTGATTTTATATAAATTAGTAAATTACACTAAATAGTAATATCTTTTATCAGTAAATTATTATTGTAAAAATTTAATGAAAATTTATTAAATTACAATGATTAATGTAAATTACGCTAAACATTGAAAATTTGAACATTTATTAATTAATAACAAAAAATTATTAAATAATGGATTGTTTATTAATTTTTGGTATTATGTAATATTTATTAAATAATGGACTATTTCTGAAATAATTATTTCATAATTTTGGTATAATATTTTCTAGAAATTTTTAATAATTTTCATAACTAATGGATTATTTAAGAATATATTAATATATAAGAAACATCGAATTCCCCTTATTTCCCTCTCTTTAATTTGCTTGAAATCACATCTATAGATATAAATATTGTTTGATTTGGAAATAATTTATGACCCTATTTTTATGGGAAAGTGGAGAGAATAGAGGGGAATTAGAGATAGAAGTGAAGGAGAGGATAAAACATATATTGAGCTAATTTAGGAGAGAAGTTAGGTTGTTATAGAAAGTGAGAGATGTGAGTTGTGGGGGGAGATAGAGAACTAGGGGTGCTCATGGTTCGGTTTGAAAACTAAATCTGATCGGTTAACCATCAGTTCGGTTCATTGGTTTTTTTTTTGGTTTTTTATATACAACATATATTATAAAAAATATATAAACATATAAGAAAAACTAGAAATATATATAATATTATATTTTAAATAATAAATAATAT